CAACGACAACGGTTTATTTTAATATTTATTATTAACGACTTAATTATTTAGATAAATGGAAATGGTGGTCAAAAGGGGAAAAAATGGACTTTGCACAGTACTTACAAATCCACACTCGTCAAGAAATACAAGCATCGCTGGATGAAATAGAGAGACCACAGACCAATAATTTACTCGGTCATCTTCACATCTTTGAGAAGCAGTTCTTCTTAGCTGTAATTGCCAAATATGAAATTTGTATGGAAGTTGTTGTTTGTTTGTTTGTTTTCATTTATCCTAGTATTTCACGCATTCTCTGCTCACCGGATTTTAATTATCAATTTAATCACTCACCATTTTATGCGTAACGCCATTTCTTTTGAAATAGTCGTGCAATGTGGAAACTGCGACCCTAGTACCGTTAATTCGCCTTACGTGCTCACAAAGCTCGCCAAGAGTTCTTTCTGGGTGCTCTAGTATCTCTTGTATGAGAATGGCTTCGTCTCGAGGTAAAAGGGCATATGAACCTGCTGGTCTTCCTTGCTTGTCAGCTTGAACCTTTCCCGTTTCGTCATACCGTCTGGCGAATCTTAGTACGGATCTTGATGGCATTCCAAGACGAACGGCAATTTCTTCTTTCGAATAATTCATGCCATAAAGCAAGACGCTTCTCATACGCAAATCATCACTGAACGTTGAAGACTGTCTATCTTCGGACGAAGATGAAGAGATGTTATTGGACGAGAATGAGGTCGACATGTAGTATGAGACAGGAACAGAAAAAGAATCGTCGATAACCGATGAAGAGGAGAACCAACCGCCAAGGTATATTTCTCATATCCATATTTTTGGTTTAACATCAGGACTTGCATTGATAACAAATACTGATTTATGTAATAATAATAATAATAATTTGTTTTCTTTAGAAAAAAAATTGTATTTGGTATCTATATAGATATATACGACGTATAGATTATCTCTTCATATATCCATCCTACAATGAAAAATTCTTCATGAGCGCTCACGTGATCAATTTTCTGTAATATGATGCCTGGTTACCATGCTGGTGTACAGCTCTAAGTAGAACGAAGACGTGTGTGAACCTTGCGAATCATCATTTTTACTCTATTTTCAATGGTTTTCTGTATTATTGTTGGTTGTTCGACTAGATCTGGTCGAGACAAAGATTTTTCCTTCTTTCGAGTGCCTTGTGTGGTCACAAATAGAGGAGAATTAGAAGAGGAGCTTTCTCGAGAACGCCGAACACGCTGGCCATCCGCCATTAGTCGGGATAACTTGACGGACAAAATCCTAGATTCCCAACGTATTTGTAGCCGACATTTTGTTTCTGGCAAAGCTGCTAGTATATGGGATAGACATAATGTTGACTGGATGCCCACTTTAAACTTGGGACACTCAAAAACTGCTCCAAACGCTTTGAGCGCCGAAGCGAAGAAAGCAAGAGCAGATCGTGAGAAGGAAAGAAGGAAGCGAAGCTTAGAATGGCAGGCTATGGAAGTCGCCGAAAAAGTTAAAATAATTAATGAGCCAGGACTTTGTGTTTCAAATATTGACTTTGAGACGGTAGATTTAACAGAATCTGTCGAAGGAATTGAGCAAGACGGTAACGAAGCAGCCTCTGAATCACCAGCACACTGTACAGATGACATTTTAGCATCAGCTGCACAATCACTAAAACTAGTTGATAAAGCGTCCCAAACAGAGGAGTTTGAGTACCTTTTCGAACAGAGACAACCCGAATGTTTCAGCGAAAGGTACTTTCTCGAATCTAATGATTGTGACGAAAGAGTTAGATTCTACACGGGTTTGCCTTGCTTCGCTATTTTACAGAAAACATTCCGCTATGTCTCACCCCATGTGACATACAAGAGCAAAAGGCTCAGTCAGTTTCAGGAGTTTGTGCTGGTCCTGATAAGACTCAGACTGAATGTGTTTATGCAAGACCTGACATATCGGTTTGAAGTAACTAGGAGAACTGTGAATAGAATATTTCATGCCTGGATGATAATCATGGATGAGAGGCTTTCCCCTCTTATCCACTGGCCAGACAGAGAAGCCTTGCAAAGCACTATGCCTCAGTGCTTCCAATATTCATTTGCAAAGAGGGCAACATGCATTATTGATTGCTATGAAGTATTCATTAACAAGCAAAGCAATTACCTGGCCAGAGCACAACCATTCTCTAACTACAAGCACCATAACACCGTAAAAGTGCTCATTGGTATTACCCATCAGGGTACAGTGTCATTTGTCTCTCAAGCATGGGGTGGGCGCACTTCGGACAAATTTCTCACTGAAAACTGTGGCTTTCTAGACAAATTATAACCTGGGGAAATGGTAATGGCTGATCGAGGATTCACGATTGAAGAAAGTGTTGGACTACGCCAAGCCAAATTAGTAATACCAGCATTCACAAAGGGAAAGGCACAGCTTAGCCCTTTTGACGTGGAAAAAACCAGGGGTATTGCTGCTGTCAGAATCCATGTTGAAAGGGTTATAGGATTACTAAGGAGGAAGTACACTGTTCTACAAGGAATACTTCCAATCGACGTGCTTCAAAAGAGTGGAAAAGATCAAGCTCCAATGATTGACAGGATTATATTGTCCCCTTTGAGTGGTATGGCACGGTCTGTATAAATTATACACAGAGGATATTAAGGCCCGGACAAATGCAAAATTTTCAGTGACTGAACAAGCTGAAGTTATAAAAACAATTTTTTATTCTCTTAAATACATCCTTTTTCTGTATTACATTTTAATTTTCAGCTGAGAGTATTTCCTTGTACCTACTACTGTTGAATGCATTCTCTAATAATGAAAATTGGTTTAAAGTTTTGATGACACTGATTTAGTCTAGAGTGCAAAACGTTGTGTACAATACATTGTACTATTTACTCCTATATGGTGTCCCATTGAAGCCATAGCATTTTTTTTAGTCTTTTTTAATTATTTCTTTCCTACTTTTTTCATTTTTATGTTTTTATTCATTTATTTATTTTT